TTTTTGCGCACATGGCTTACAAATTAGCCATTACGCACAAATGCCCTGTAGTCACTGGGTCGCACCATAGGAGCGTGTAGGTCAGACATGCTGCAGGCCCACATTACGTGGCCAGCCTTGTATACATACCAGTGACCCATGTTCAGAGTAACCGATCTTCTATCAGAGGCAATGTCCATCAGTTGGACGGCTGGCTGCATTTCAGAACAGCTCTCTCCTTCCCACATTTAACATCGACACATGATCATTCAAACAGTTTAGACTTCAAGTCATTTCGCCAGTAGGCTTCTACTGGAAATTCCCAAGAACCACCTCCAGGCAAGAGCACAGGATGCAAATCGTCTCCCAGCTGTTTGATTATATGGCTGGTAATTGACAACATTGATTTAACATTTCTTAATCTACCCAGAAGAGATTTAACTTAAAAAAAAAAAAGTTAAGAGAATCAGGTTAAAACGTTCCTGTTTTTGAAACCTGAAGGAATAAAATCTGAACAGCAGCATTTAAAACCAAGATAACACAAGACAACATAAAACCTCGCCAATCCCAACACTGATACCACATTGACCTGGGTTGTACAAATCATGCCATCTGAACACTTTGAGCCTTCTGTTACGGTGATACTGGGGGGGCTTTAAGAACTTATGGAAACTAAGTCCACTCTGAGACAGCCTTCCCAAAAAAAGAGCCAGCTTCACTGGCAAGATGCTGGCATGCAAAGAAGTACAGCCACTGCCAAGCCAGGCATATTTTGATCTCTCTCAAAAAGAAAAAGCAAATCTGTTTAGTTGCTAAACTGCTTTGGCATTCGCTAGGTATAACTTTTCCACAAAGGGACAGGGCTGAACCTGTTTTGGCTACTGCTCTAGCTAGTTAAGCCAAATGACTGCTAGGTCCTAGGACTGCTTATTTCAATGGAGAGCAATGCTGGCCTCAGAAAGGTCTCCCTTTTACAAGTGTTAGTTGGGCCTCCTGATGCCGACAGCTTGTTGGCTGCAGCTGTGCAACAGACAAGCCAGAAGGACAAACACCTGAAGTGAAATCCCCAGCTGTAAGAGCTATTTTAGAATAGTTTCACGGTTGGAAGCAGCTCATGTTTGGCAGAAATAAGCCAAATCAGCTTGCTAAGGATGGAACAAGTGTCATAGCTCATAGTTAGGTTCCCACCTTAAAGTACACAGCAGTAATGTCCAGACCTAAAGAAAGCAGCAGCATGCTGTGCCCCTGTTGCTGCTAGAATTGGCAGCATTCATCCAGATTTCCACCTGGCCTTTAATATACTTGAACTCCCAGCAATTCTGTCCCCGCTGAAAGAGGGGCTTCGATCAAGCAGCTACGGAGTTCTCAAAGCTAATATAAAATAAAGCAACCAGGATCACAGAATAAAGTTAGAGACCACAATAAAGCAGCTTCCTTTCAGATTGTCCTTGACAGGCTTCTCATAGTGTTGCCTTTTAGTTTTGTAAAAAACCTAGTTGGGAAGCACTGTTCCTCATTCTGCTTTACCACTGCATGGTTACACTGCCACAAAAAGAGTCAGAACTACAGCTGAGAGGAAAGCCTGAAGAGCCCTGACAGTAAGTCACCATTTATCAGAAAACAGAGGCCTCGATACAGTCCAGATGACTCGACAGCAGTGGTATAGCTTCATTTGACTGTACTTAAATAAAAAAAAAACACGGCATAATTTTAAAAACAGGGATTAAAATGCTCTCATTAACACTTGTACTGCATGGGTCAGCTTAAGCCACCCAAAGGAGCAGGCTACTGGGCAGATCTTCCTTTTCATGGTAGTCATAAGAGAAGCTGTGTCTACAGAGAGAGACATTCAGGAGAGTCAGCTTTGCAGTCAACATACAGCTGACAGGGTTCAAACCTGCAGCCTGGTGAATGCAGGAGTTGCACATTGTTTCTCTTCTCACTTGCAGGAACTGAGACAAGGATGGGAAGATGCGCACGAAGTGAGCTGGTACATGGAATCACGACCAAAGAACGGATACATCTTTCTTCCCTCCAAGTCCCCCCATGTAACGGACAGTATCTGCATGCCCAACAGCCCTCACAGTTTCTTCAGGCGGCTGTACAGTTCCCTTTTGCTCTTCTCACCTGCCCACGTTCTGCTTTTTATGCGGAACCTTTTCAAGTCTTCCTTGAAGTCTTCGTGGTGCATGGGGCGGTAGCTCTGGGGCTCACAGTAGCTCTGGGAAAAGATGACATGTAGGTTTCACCTTTAAACATCCCAGTTTCAAGTGTACAAGGGACATTCCCTTCCTCATGCTGTCAGACCCTTTGCTTCAAGCAGAAGACCCCACTGGCACTCATCACCCACTGCTTCCGTCACGAAGATAATAAGAGATTGGTCCTGAACTGCCATTTCATTGCTGCTTAGGTTGGTTTAAATATAAGCCTTCACAATTAACGCTTCACTCAGCTTCTTCTGGGGGAGTTCTCAAGCACAGCTCTCTCAAAGCAGTGATGAGAACCTCTTATTTACATGGCTTTCATCCCAAGGCCCCCCGAAGACTTCAGAGCCAGAAATGTTTCCACAAATGAAGCCACACAGTTATGCTGTACAGCTTTTTAGGAAAGGCACACACACACAGATGTGATTTGAGTTACTACAGCTGAAAGTAGGTAGGGCACCACTCTTGAAGTTAACAAAAGAAAAAAAGCCTGGTTCTCTCTGAAGCACAGCAGACTGAAAGCTGCTAAGTTTATGTAAAACTCAATGCTTCAGTCTTGCCTATGCTGGAATGAGCTAGAGAGCTAGCTGAAGAAATGAATCATAGAATCAATGAGTCGGAAGGGACCTAGACAGATTGAGTCCGACCACCCGCCACAGGCAGGAAGGAGCACTGGGGG